TGCAGGACATGCGTGAATTTTTTGGTGTCGAAAAAGTCGTACTTCATCCTTGAATTGCTTTTAGAGCACAGCGCTCTAAAAAATTTACACCAGATTCGGATTCAAGTGAAAATTTCACCAAATTATTCCAGAAAAACGTTAAAATAATTTGCGACTGCACCCAATGCTGCGTTAAACCATCTGTAAACACGCTAATTTTATCACAAAAGGAAATAATTTGTGCTTACCATAATGCTTAAATCACTAAACCAGTGCAATCGTTAGCTGGACATCTGTTTTGCGTTCACTCGTCTCCCTTTGTTGCGCTATGTCGCCCTCCGATCATAAACTATGCATCCATCTGACCCAAGCACATTATTAACACCGAGGGTCAAAAAGTACTTTTAACCTGAGAAAATAAATTTCAGACCTCCTCTGACTGAACAAGTAAACCACTACTTATTACTAAAAATGTCTTTAATAGGCTAGTCATTGGGGTGGGAAGTGTTCAAACCACACCACAACTGCAGACGGCTAGTGTAATTAGCTAGAAAACGCTTTGACACGGTTTGAAAAGTGATCCATTACCGTGAGAGAGGCATTTTGGCGTATAACTGGGACACTAGCTGCACGGCATTCACGTTCCGATGCCCGAGTGATAGCCGCCACGGCCCATTATCCATTGATCAAACAGGTCTGGAGTTAAAAGTACGACTTGGGGCAATTTTAAAGTAAGCAGATCGAGGCACTGTGGGTAGGCAAGACTTCACATGGTGCCTTAGCCAGCAGATTTTCCCGGTTTTTTTAAACTTCGCATAAGAAGCGTTTTTTTGGTTGTAAGAAAAAATACAGGTGCAAATCTAAGCAGAAAAACTAAAGGTAAAAAATACGGCACTTGCACGGTTTGCAGCTGCAGAATCTGAAGCAGTTTTGTCTTCTGGACTGGATATACTTCGCTTCGTCGGCAGAGCTTTTTTCAACTGTTGTTTTCAACTTGGAATCGAGACACATCCACAGACCTCCATTTTTGGCGATTCAATATCTCTTACAAGGAAGCATTTGTCGAGGACTTGGTTCCTACATGGGATCATTTATCAAAAACGCTTGTTTAGCAGAGGTTAAGGTTGTTTTATGGAAAGAACAACTGCGTCTTATTTAAAGTCCTTATTTTCGCCTAAAATTCTTTTACAAATCAATAGATTTTGTCTGTTCTAAAGCAGTTTCCATTTGTTCTTAAACCCGGTAGTTTGTAACAAGCCATAACTAGGTTCAGTTGTTCTTTATAGTTGCATAATTGTGGGATAACTTCCGGCGTCAGCTGGTGCTATTCAGCCTTGGTGGACGAAAGCCCGTAGCTTCAACACACGTTTGTACACATAAAAGTAACTGCATCGACAGCCTCAGGAAACTCCAACAAACTAGAATGAACTGCTAATCGTTGCGTAGAGGGTCGCTAGCACGTCTGACAACAAGCTACATGCATTTAAATCAAATTAGCTGGAGCTAGGGACGATCAATAGGACTTCGATAAGGACTAGACTAAAATCAAAATTAGAGAGTTGCTTGATTTTGATGACATTCAGAGGCATAAACCAGGTTCCTCTAGTTTAAAACGCCCAATAAAAGTTAACGGTGGCACTGGCTTTGGCTAAAACTTCTCTACGAGCATAACGAAGCTGACGTTTTCCTATAAGACTGAAATCTGATGTGATTTGCAAGTTCTTGGACTACTGTATCGTTCTGGAATTGCCTTGATCTTGTGTTCTTATTTAATCAACATTTTTGTTGATTCCACCACTTACGACTACCTTCTCGAAGTTTAGCTCTTATAGATCTGGTGGCGCAGCTCAGGTTCAAGGTCACATGATGCGTTATCACAAGGGAAAACTATATTTGTATGATTCTGAGCCCGATTCCCACCAAGCGAAGTTCATCGTTTACCGAAATGTAACATGAAGTGGAATGACAACTTGTCAGACATGTTGGTATGCTTCAGTCGTTTTGAGATGCCATTAGTACGTCAAATCGATTATCTACATGATTCATCTTGCGAGGTCTGCTAATGAAATGTTTCTGCCCCAGGACGATGTTGCGTTAAACAAAAAAACTAGGAGATACATGTAAGGGTCTGTCATTACAAAAATTTGATGCCATTTCACAACCAATCACACCTTAGCAACGCTCAACTCAGCAGCTCGTATTTCGTTTATTAAATTACTTCTACAGTTTTCTATAGCGGGCGTCTACATATCAACGTGCAAATCGCAGCTTTCTCTTGGGGAATTTTAGATGAATACGAAAGCATGCAATCCATGTGTAGTTTCTAAAATCCCAGGCTTAGAAAGCAGATATGAGGCCAAGCCTTTTTCCTTCTTTGATTTGGATGTTTTGTGCTCTATGGACAGAATCACTTTTGCTTAAATCTCCAGGGTGCGTTCAGCTGCCAAATTTTGTCCAAGACCACCTACTGTGTCAAGGGTTAGCCAGTTGCATCAGTTCATTTCAGCATTTGAGTATGGCAGAATCACATTTAAGGTGTCCAACAAACCACAGACGTTAAAAGTAAATTACACGACTAAGTGAAATTATTTTGGACAAGATACTCTGAATCGATATCTAGTATATTTGAAGTACGAAATCTTTAATTTCTGCAAGATATCCATCAGCGTTAGTTGCAGGCTTTGGGGCTAAGTGTGAGACGGACAGCCACGTCGGTTATCCCACATGACAAATAGGCGCACAAATTACGACTTATGCATGAAATTCCTCCTGCGTTTTCTGACATTTTGGAGACTTCGACGCACCCAAGGACCCTAACATAAAGTGCTAGCGCCTGCTAAGATGAGGTTTGGCTTTTCAGGGTGGGAATTACACCTGACTCCTGCCTGGCACTCAGAGCTCCCCCCCCGTGTTGCACCGACTGCTTTTCTAAACATTTTCAAGCAGGAATAACAGGATTGGTGTTGGCCTCGGTAGGTGCAAAACTCGTGTTACCTTTGCTACCGTAGTATCCAACCCGTTAATTGTTTTTTTTTGCCCTGGCGCAGTGCTGGCTTTTTGTAATAGTGAGAAAATCAAATGTATTTAACCTGAATTTCTTGTCTGCCTCGTCGACACATCAAAGTGCAAATCGCCTTCTTTCCTCTGAGCGACTTCTGATCAACACGAATGCATGCAATCCAAGTGTGATTATTGAAATCCCAGACTTATGCGACATTAGAGGAAAGACCTGCGTGTGTTTTAAGCAATGTCAAGGATGTCATTGGGTTTACTGCGGACCTGGACTGTGTTGCGTTTGCCCGTAACAAAGAGAAAACCACCCAAATAACGATACCAGATCTCTTGTTGACGCTAGTACCGACCTTCCCAGGCCAATACAAGAACAAGACCAGAGCTCGAGTAGAAAGCTTCAATCACGTCAACCACGTGCAGAGTGGAGTGTCGAAAGTGAAACTAAATCGAGTCACGGTTGACCTTGACATGATAAAAAGCGTAGTAAAACACATGTCAATGAATTAGTGTAAATTGTGCCAGAAACCAACGACGAGAAATCTTGGGGAATCGAGGATCCCCAACAGACTGAAAGATGGCCAGTTTTGACTGGAACTTTAGAAAAAAATTATTTAATTTGGGTTGAATGAAGTTGGTTTCACTAAGAACAAGCAGATTACTTTAAAAACGAATACCTTACTTTGCCTGTTTATTCAGTCAGTCCTTCCTTAAAGTGTAAAATTTATTTTGCATCGCTAACATAAAAGGTTTTAATTTTTCTAAAGTTATGATAAACGAACACCTCCTTGATGTATGATTTCCGTTTCTTACGAAAAAACATCGCCTTTTCACGGAAGCGATCAGTTAAAACGCGCTTTTCCGATGCTGATTTAAAGTGGATTCTTTTTGGCGTAAGTGTTGTAGACTGGAAGCTGAAAATTATATATTTTTGTTTTCCCTGCAACAGTCAAGAGTGAATGGTTGCTGATTTCGCATTTATTTTCGAAATTATCCCTTATTTTTGGTCGAAATATTACTCCAAAAGTAATTAAATCCCCTGTGGCTTCTTTTTCTTGCTAATTATTAATTTAGCAGCAATGTTTCATAACGATGACAAATTATGACACAGACAATGCCAGACTGACTGATTTGGACAATGTTGGAAGGCAACCCAGTTGTTCGACCTCTAATGAAACAAAGCCGCAAAGACAATTGAACTATTGAACGAACCTGAGCAAATTTGCTAATTAATTCAAAGCTAACGTTGTGGTGCTTCTTGTGACCGTAAAATCAATACATACGTCAAAATTTTTTTTTTTGCAACTATGTTACAAACAAAGGTTGCGCGATTTCTAGCTGTCTGTGGATTTTACTTGAAGGTAACAGGGTCGCCTTGATTCCCTTGATCTAATTCACTATCGACCTACGTTCCTCTATTTTGGTTAACTAAACTAGTAAAGTACAAGCCTTATCCACAACTTGAGTATTTTCCTTTGTTAAAGTATAGTGCCAAGAACCTCAATTTCACGGGACAGTGATCAAAATTTAAAATAATAAGCAACCAATAAATAAATCCATTAAGTTTCAGAAATTTCTTCTAGCAGTCGCTCACGTTCTTAGATTTGCACAAGTGTTTTGAGCTGACGCCTCGGATCTGGGAAATTCTCCTTATTTCAGGCACAGTTTAAGGACAGTTTTGTGGCAAGTAAAAATCCCGCATTTTAACATTGAATAAAAGCTGGCATATCAAGCCAATTCGTTTTTAAGTGGCTACAAAGTTTCTATAGGAACTGACAAAATTAAGTGGAGTTTCGCCTTTGAAAAGAGGCTTTTAGTATACCGCCACGCTGAATCTGTGATCCTATTGGTGCGTGATTAATGGATGTACATAAAAAGCTTGCTTCAACTGTTCTGATTCATTTTCATATCCAATCGAGTCATTCTAACCTAGTTTTTTTGTATACTTAAGCCTAATAGTTAATTACGATGAGTAGTTTATTCCTTTTTAGCTGACAGATGCGGTGACTAGTATGCCAGTCAATCGTCCTCGTGTTCGGCGTGGACGCTCTCTTAACATCAGCGCTCTTCTTGCCTCAGGCGACTTCTACATCGATGACAACGGTTACCTCGTCTCGGTATCTAATGGAACGCGCTACCGCCTTCCCTCGGGCCCCCCTGAAGGTCGTTCAGGCGGACCGTTTGAACTTCAACCGATCCTGCCTGGCAAGAATCAGCAACTGGCTGATTCCGCGGTTGAATGGTTTGAACTCACAACCGCCAAGACAGCCTCGCCATCGACGTCTCTCGCAAAGACCCGCTTACCGCCAAGCCTGAATTCCACTTCCGGCGAGTACCAGTCGACAGTTGGAACACTTCAGCTGTCTTTAGCGCTGGTGGCCTGTTCAGTGGCCCTGATGGCCAACCTGGGGCTGGTTTCGATTAGTTGTTGGCATCTGTTTCGCTCGGAGTTGGGCCAAAAACAGCAGCAGCAAAACAGAAGAAGCACCAATTCCATAAGCCTGCAGCCAATAAGGCCGCCTGAAGGTGTATTTAAAACTAGCGATTTCGCAAATGCGACCACTCAGAGCGAACGCATTTCGCTGTCATCAGAAGGTAAGATTGATGGGATGTGACTCAATAGTTGTGCTTTGGCGTCTCCTACAATGCATTTTTTGAACTGAGCGTGTTAAGGCTAACAACTCCGTTGTTTTTTAAAAAGTTGCCTGTTTGAGGTAACCTTTTTGCTTGCTCAGTCCATATTTAGGCTTTACAATCTTCAAAAATATTCCGATAACCTTTGATGGGCGAAAAATGTCACCTACGTGATTTTGCATGTCCCACATTCCCGCGTATTCATTCTTCTATTTGCCTTCCGATATTTTCTAATACTAAAGGCATTAAATAACTGATATACACAATATGGGCTATTTTCAAAGTGACGAACGTTAAACTGGGATGTCGAGATTACGCTATTTTGAGCTCCAAAGTTACATAAAGCAAGGGTATATGTTCCAAAATCTGTCTCTGAATGAAGTGAAAATGTGCACTGTTCAACAAGGCTGCATAAACAAATAATGTAACTCCAAATGAGTCAAAGAAAGTTACATCGAGGTAAAGATTGTCGCTTCTTCTATAGGCCAGAGTCATCGGCTATATTGAAACGGATCGGAAACCTGTTTAGGCACATCAGTGTGGTACCACTGCTGTAACCTGCAACAAGCGTCCCAACTCACATCGTTATATCTCACGCCCTAGCCGTGATCGTACAGGAAACACGCCAGCACTAGAGTTTTGTTAGATTAATACCCACTGAAATTTAGTGATTACAACTACTACAGTTGAGAGTATATTCACGTCAGTTTTACCTATTCCTAACTCATGCTTTATTGACGGTCCTTTATGAGTGTGTTGCCGGTTCCTTTTCGATCAATTGTAAGGGCGATGGTGGGCTTGTGGTTCTTTGAAGGAAAGGTGTGAATGATTGGACTGCGAAACGTGTCACAAGGTGGGCAGCATAATTCGTTCCCACAAATTCCACATCACATCACATGAAACCAGGATATAAACTGCCAGATGATTTAGTCAACGGCTACAGCTACACCATGGGAGCGTGGTTCATGAGGAAAAAGCGTATTTTTGCAAAATAAACCATGCAAAAACTGTCCGGAATCACAGCAAAACCTCAGTTGTTTGTTGTACAATCTTTTAGAGGAATTGAGATAACTAACGTGTGTTTAACAAATTAGCACCACTCAGGTTGAATACCACTTAATATGATCTAAAATACACTACCAAGCTAAAATTCTAAAAAAAAGCTTTTCAAAAAAAAAAACAATGTGCTTCTCAGCGTTTACTTTAATTCGGCAAAACTGTTTACCGCCTCAATGCTTCATGTAAGCTGTTTTTTATCTAAAAATCCCTTAGAACTACTGAATCCGATAGCTGTCCGATTTCCGATTTCACCTTCTAGAACTCCATTCCAGTTCCATCTCGCTCAGCTCTGACGATTCACGCCCAAGACAGCGTGTAAAGAAAGTGATGCCCGAACGTCAAAAAGAAAGTCGCCCTTTTACTAATGCCCGGTCTTGCCTCGGAATCGGCGCACACATAGGTCTCCTGGGCGTAGTGCTGGCCTTTGTCCATCTCACGGTGACCTGCTTCCACCTCACCCAGACACCACTCAGTACCGTGCTCTGTCTGCTCGTGACGTCCATCGCCATGGACACCCTCCTTTGCGTTCAACTACACCTCATCTCGTGTTTCCTTTGCCTCGTGCTCATTGGGTTCCTCTCGCACGTGTCAGCATCGCCCTCAGGTCAACAGCGATTCGCCTGTCTGGCTCTCTCGCATTCCCTACCCTGGGCGCTGGCAGCAGGATCAGCACTCTTCATCACCCTGAGGCCATCGGAAGCGTCAGTTCACGCCAATATATTTTTCACTGGCTTTGACACCGACTGTGATATAAAACCTTCAACTACCTTCCAGCTTTCTCTAATTGCTCTTCTGGTTATAACGCCACTCGTTGGAGAGATCATGCTCGCCCTCCTGCTAGTGTGTTGCTGCAAACAGATAAAACGGCTAGTGAGTCTTATCGTAGTCCTCCTGCCAGTTCTGAACTGCAGTTGTCTTATACCCGTGATAGCTGCAAGAGTGGGCAATCTGACCCTTCTCCCACTTGCGGTGGAGCCGATTCTCCTCTTGATGCTTTACCATCTCCTGTTTATCAAGACAGCACAGCCACCGCTACCACCGTCACCACAGGAGCTGCAACGGATCCCCACCACAACTGATCTACGATCCCCTCTACACCAAGTGGTTTCCGATGAATCACCTTCTCTGGCCTCAGATATGTTCTTTCCACAGACTATACTAGCAATAACACCACATCGCTGTAGCCACACCAACAGTCTAAGGAGTGCATCGCCGTCTAGGTTCACAAAGCTCTGTCCGCATTATCAACAGATCTTGCACCAACAACTCAAGCACCCGCACACCTGCTGTGCTGGCGGTTCCTTTGAGATGAACGATAGAACAGATGTTTTTCCCGCTACTGGTAGGTTTGCCTGTTTGCATTTTGCCAGTTCCTGCTTTTTACTTACGACTACTAATGTACGGTGCTTGAACTAATACGGTAATGACTTGAATAAGACATTAACTCCAAGTTTCCCCGACATGGCGGTATCCAACCTCAGCCTAGGAGGACGGTACGTGACACATTTCCAAAATTCACTTTTTAGGAATTGGCAATAATTTCAATAAACATTTATGATCTAGCGGCTTCTGATAGGTCCAAAACACTCGACTGAATTTAAACGATCAAAATCGAGTTTTTATATTTATAAAACAGTGGGTCAGGTGCATTAGATGTGGATTTATGATATTTCATTGATGAAACAAACAGATGATCAATAAATTGTCCCAGGTTTTGAGAATTGTATGCGAGTCTACGCACAGCGTTTTTATCTGAAGCGTGTAATGGTTCCATTCCTAGTTGTAGTTATGGAGTCGAATTTTTGGACTTCGCTACCTAAAATGTGGACACAAAAATGTGTGATACAGGTTTTAAATCACGTTATTCTTTAGCCCTAATAGTTAGGTGTAATTGGGATTTTTGTAGCAAATGCGTCGGATATGGAATAAATGCCATCTTCAGGGGTGATATTTTGGCATAATGCGCGCCTCCCTCCAAAATAGATCACTGAACGGTGGATCTGCAGTGAATGTATTTTTTTGTGAAAAATTGTACACAGTTATTTTGAAAGAGTAATTTATGTATGTGTACGCAGGTGACTTAATGTCAGTTATCAAAACTATAGGATCAGATCAGCTGAGTAGTAAATTATTTGGCAAAGTATATCCGCAAACATGATAAGAAGGGAACTAACTTACAAAGTAAACTGTATTTTGGTATCATTTTAACTTATTCTGCGGGTTCGAGGCTGAGCTCTCGTCATACACGCTATTGGATGTGGTGATGTTGGAAAGAACAATAAAGAGATAAAATGTTCTAAATGTAACGGGTGTTTGCTCATTGTTCTTTGCATAGTGGGTTTTCGGGAAAGGCATCTTTTGCACTTACTATGTCTGCGTGTATATACATCCACCTTCTTCTTTCAATGTAACAGGAAATCACACTTTCGTGCTACTAATGTAAGTCTTCACTAATGTAGTGACACTAAACATGTGTAAATGCGAGAGAAAAGCTTCAACACGGTTAGCAACACTTAAGGTTATTGCTTTCTGAGGAAAGCTCCAAAAACCCACGAAGGCTGAATCAAGTGAGGGTGTCAAAATTTTAACGAAACAGTCATGCGAGTAAACATCCACACGCCGCATTTAAATCGTCACGCAGCGAATTGGGTGGGTGGGTGGGTGGGTGAGCGGCAGTGGAATGCAGGCTAAATGCCAAGTCGCCTTTCATTGTCTACAAGCAAGTCTGAAATATCAAGCCTTGAAGAGATTCCCCGAGCAGCCTGCCTTACTCGCCTTTGTGGCACTGGGGAAGAATTTTATTAAATTACTACAACCCTGTAGTCGCTGGTAGACTAGAGACTTCAAGGAAAATTCAATCCAAGATAAAGTAACCACTATAAATTTACTTTAGGCGACAAAGTGGTTGACATACATGCGTTCACTAAAATAATAATATTTCTGCAGAGGTGTTGGTTGGTTTCTAGCGCGAATTTTTTCCACCTTCTGTCTCCAGATGCCTTTCGCTGCTTCAACTTTCAATTTGGCGCTTGTGTGTTCACAGGGGAAGTCAAGTTTTTGCTGATAAAAAGTCACCAGGAAATGCAAGCTTTTCTTAAGAAACGTGACTAGAAAAGTGGTGAAGATGTTAAATCTACTACCGCTTAGTTTCTACGCCAACGAATGCCTTATTTTGTTTTACAAATATAAAATGTTGCAGCTTTTAGGGTACGATTCGCTGCTTTCAACACCAATTTCTTTCATGCCATTTTGGTCCGAAACTGGCCAAATCACATGCAAAAAGGCTTTAAGGACACTAAAGCGAACTGCATATACTGAGTCTCGGTACTTATCTCACAGTCGAACATTGATGAGTAAGAATTGTAACAAGTTGTAGAGAGAAAAAAATTCCCCAACGTCTGACCTAGTCACTTTGTTTAATACCTTTATATGTGTTATTCGATCCGAACTATCATTACTGGTGTTCGGCATTACCGTCCAACTTCCTACTCGAATTAACTTCTCGACCTTTTTCGGCTTCCAGAGTCAACTAACAAGGAATCTTCCACTAGGGGTTGATCGGGAGGTGTCACAGGCAATGGGGTACTCAAAGCTAAGTTGATAGGTTTTAAAGCTGCCCCTCTTTCGAAAACCATTTAATAAGTTATCCGAAAATTGGATAGCACTGACCAGAGTTTGTACAAACTGAGACTATCTTTCTCGCCACAATAATGTGACTAGTTTGTGGTAATAATACACAAAAACTTATTTTTAAACTGCGTAGGTAGAACTTAGAGATTCTGGCTAAAATGTGAAAGTCTGAAGTGAAAGCTTGACTGATTCCCTAGAAAGATATTTAATGTGAACTACATGACGGGCATCCCAAGCCAGGGAGTACCTAGTGAGAGACTGTCGAATCGAGTTGTCATTCCCTTTATTCGCCGTCTCCTCGACATTCACACACACACACACACACACAGGAAACAAGCAACGCGGCCTGCCCTATCCCGCCTCCTGGCGCCAGCTATTGCGTGACGCTGGCACCACATCACACATTCGCTCGAATTGAAATTTTACGCATTCACGCGCACATTCATTTTAAGCGGTAGGAGTTCTTCTGTTTGCTGCCTCGAACCCATAAATTTGCCCTGCTACTCGCAACCACTAGTGACGACAGTGGGTTTGCAACAGGCTCCTCACACTGCCCAGATTATAAAAGGCATTGTGGAAAATTGGTGCAGGTAGAATTAACAGAATTTATCACCTGGACACTCAGTAAAGTGGATTTATATTAAAGCAGCACTAGACATCAGATCCAGGAGCGCGTAGCGACTTAAATGTATCCCAGGGTTATGTCAAAATAGGCTTTTTATAATTAGTTCAGACATTTCGGCGAAAGAGCGAAACTGGGCTTGAAAATCATTTAACCATTTAAGGTTTAATTTAGCGTGTTCTTTGGGAAATTTTTACTTTAAACATTAGCGCCATGCAAGCATTCATATGGTACCGTAAACATGTAATTTTTGACACTGGAGTACAAGATGGGGGAGCGGGCTAGGGATCATGTGATTCTGTGTTTAAAAACAGTTGGAATTCGGACCTTGCTGTCTAGTCCTTTTGATGTTGCTTTATTTAATTTTGACAAAATTTGCTTGAACGACACAGCGGCCTCAGTAAAACCTTAATGAAAGAATTTGGACCACTTATGGACAGTAATGAATCACTTATCTCATCGAATGTGCAGTTATTCTGGTGGTGTACTGTAATTTCTGGTTTAAACATCAATAAACTCGAAATAGGCAGTCTTTAGAATCCATTGTTATAGACTTAAATGACATTTTAATACCAAACAAAGTATCGCACAGCCACTTGGTGTTTCTGAAATGACGAATAAGGACAAAATGTAGAAAGAATTTGCAATCCTTTGTAGAGAGGGCTGCAAATATTCAAAAAGGAACACCCGTATTCATTGCACACAAGTTAGTTAGCAAATCAGTTTGAGCACCCTCAGAAGACATCAAAAATCACCAATCACATCACTGTCAAAGCCCGGAGGGGTGGTGCCACGCCAAGCTTTTAGGATAATGCTACTACTCTCATCACTTCAAACTGTCTACTTAGAAATTTGTAGCCCTTTTAGCTTTGCCGACAGATAATTATTAATGAACTTTCAAAAAACCCTCAACTCTTCACCATGCGGCCCCCTTGTTTTGGCTATATACTTCATTACGGCTGTTTGCGACATTAATAAAAAATTAAGGATGGCTCAAGGTCATTGCTCTGAAATTCATTCGATGAAATCTAGGTTATTGCAGTGTAAGTCCAGTTGGCTCTTTTGGTACCCAAAATTGTGGTATCTGTGAGAGCGACGACAACTATCAACCTCAAATTGGTAGGCTTTTCTTTAAAGGAGTCAAAAATGAAACATGGCAATTCTTCCAATACAGAGATATCTACACTTTGAATTTTTCAGCCATTAATTCACTTCGAAAGTAGATCCAGATTTTTCCTTTTAGTTTCTACTGCATTTTGTTTTTATTGTGGCATCCGATAACAAATAAGATCCGGCTAGTTTAACCCTTTTAAAACTACGCAGGCTACACTGTCAATATTACAATGACCTCTGTGGCCTCGTTTGTCATTGGATGTCTTACTAAACCGTTCTCACTTCCTTATTTTAATTTATCTAAATTTCGTTTCTATTCTATGTTTGCTACTTTTTATAGCGGAAACTGCCATTTATTTTGCTTTGACATTTATGCAGTCTTTTGCCTCATGATCAAGCTATCGGAATGTAAAACACGCGCTCGCGCCCATTTCGTGGCAAATCCAAGTGCCTCCTCAACACCCATTCTGGCGCCTGCAATTTTTCGGCCTGCCGTGCCGCAAAGATATGTCAAGTCAGCTACATTTTAGCTCTTTCTCTGCGTTTTTTAGCACACAAAGTTATAAAATTAGATATTCGAGGTCTAAGTAGCTTTCGAGCACTTTTTTTCTGCCTAGGCAGAATCGCTCAAACTGTGTTTGTATGGCGATGTCACTTTTATCAGCTAAATATCCATTAAATAAAAATGACACCAGACGTGGGTAGAACGGGGTAATAGTGCGAATCAGAATTTTGCTAGTTTGTTAAATTCGGGGACTGCACCATAATGTCAGGCACATTTTTAGGCTTCGCCTACGCAATTTTAAAATTTACCTTAGCTGTGGGCCTCTGATTCACGTGCTTCTTGTTGCTGTCTTAAGTATAAAGAAAAAGTGCAACACTATGAGGAACGTTATTTGCGAAAAACGGTCACTTCATCACAGAACACGTTAGCTGAAATGGACTCAAAAAGGAAATATTAAAAGCCTTTTTGGCTTTGTATTACCATTAGCATGATGTTTACGCACTGCTGTGTTCCTGAGGCCACGACTGATCTATTTTCTTATGTTCAATCCATCATCCGGCAGGTTACTCGTTTCTTCTGGAATGATGTCTTCGAAGTCGCACAGATAGACTCGATTTTAATCTTAGTCACAGACAGATGACCTCAAATTTATCTGACTCGGCTCTATCTAAACCTTGCTCCCATGCTTTTAATCACTCGCTTTAGTAAGCTGCAAGAGGAATCATAATTAGATCTGCGCTACCAAGTGTTTTGCTTACGTAATGAAATCTGAATTTTCGATATTTGTTGTCACCTCTGTGGCAGGGTATAAAAACATTCGTAATTGTCAAAGGTGGCAATTACAGTATTTTATATTTTATGGAAATTAAGTTATAGATGCCTATTTATAAGATTTTGCCCATTAAACCTCGTGAATAACAAAGCTAATTTGCTCGCAGTACTTTTCTAATCCGAAAAATTTTAAAAACAAGGCTTTTCTTGAAGAAGTTTGTACGAACTCTTGCTTTTTCACAGACACGAACTTTCCTGCCTTTAACTCCTCTTGAAATGTGTCCGATTCAGAAGCTGAATTGGGTAGAGCTAATCGCATTTTCTTTCAAGTCGAAGCGACTTGGGTGAAGTTCACTTCTAGGGGCTCTTTTTTTATGCTAAACTGATGTCTGTCTGCATTTCAACTAATTTATTTGGCTGGAAGGAAGCAAAATCACTTTTTAACGGGTCGTGGAATGATAGGCGAAGTTTGCAGGTGCTTTTTTAATCAAATTAACTCATCAGATGAGGGGTTTTTCTGTGGAGCTACTCAAAGGGGATCGCCTCCTGTGCCAAGAGAAGGCAGACCGCTGCTGCTCTCGCTCAAAGAAAGCCCAAAACTCGTAGCTTTCCTACTGTTTCTAAAATCCCCAATTAGGTCCGTGAAATATTAAAAGGGGCTCAGGTTCTGACACTTAGAACCTACGTTAAACAACTCTTTATTGTAGCTTAAATTTGGGCTTTGGGTTAAATTTGAGTTGTAAAATCAGCTTAAAGCATGTAGAAACATCTCCAAAGTGGACAAACTAGTGCCGAAACTTGATTTATCTGCATGTGATCATTCATTAAATTAAAAACTTGATGGCAAATAGTGGTTGTCCAGCTCAGGTCATTCGATATGCAAGATTTATCTTGATTTTGTGGATAACACACCTTCGAGTTTAGTTGTCTGGCAGTCACACTTGGAACTGAATTTGTACCTCACTGTTCCATTACAAAATCGCTTTTCAGGCAGCGTCAAGGTGGCTTTTCAGTTAAATTTCAACCTACAGTCGACCTGTGGGTCCGTTAACTTCTGAGGTGCTGCTTCCAGAGACAAAACAAATAAAAGAAGGCTGTCAATTTGACAGCCATGACCCAGATTTTGCATAAACGTGCACACCAGGCTTCTTTTTCTTTCTTTATGCTCTCGTCTTTAAAACTTTGTGTTCACGATTCTTCAATCATTCAAAAACGACCTTCATCATTTACTTTCATGGAACTTTTTGAATCCTAGTAGTATTGGCCACTTACTAGTGAAGGCAAATCGCAGTGTTCTCCAAGAGGAGCAATCTTTTATATCGTATTTACACACCGTGTGGATTTTATCGCGTCTTAACTCCGTCTAAGCCGCACAAAATGCTCATGTTTAGTTTGGTCTCAAAATGCTCTTCTGCGTGTCCGTTAAATCCACCATTTAACTGTGAAAGAAGACCTGATCAACATGAAATGGGCTTGATGGTATTATTAGCGATTTCACGGTGTCTGCAATCATGAGCCTTATTTGTGTGAAAGGAACCCTGTGCAACTAGTGTTTATACCTAGGTATTGTGTGCTTCTAGTCTGTTTGCAATTTGGTTTTTTCAACTTCCTATCTTAAAAGAAATGGCTTGGCCATATTACTGGCCCCAAGACGCAAACCAGCACTTACCTGAAAAGGTTTTATCGGCTTTCTCTGAAGTTGTAAATAGCGTCCTTGTGAGATTTTAGTGATTAGTTTTGTTGTGGGCCCCAGCATGTGGCCCTGAACCACGCCGGGGCCACGGAATTAACCCTGGCCCCATTACGCCTCCCAGATACCCGCGATGGAGGAAAGAGGCCGGAGAGGACGTGGACACAACCGTTTGCCTCAGAGGTAAACCACGTTGGCGTCGCTGTGTCGTGAGTGGTGTTTGCGCGTGTGTATGTATACCTCAGATATGTGTCATGCGCTAACATCGAGACCTAGGTGTGGGGACACTCCAAGATAAATATTCGGGCTAATGAAGGGGGAGTTGAGGATTCGCGTGGCTGGCGACATGCTGCGACAAGGGGAACCCTGTGTAGGAGGTGGAGCGACCGGATTAAGGGGTGTGAAAAAACAGGGTTCGCGACAGTTTCCATCATTAAGGTCATCTTCTCATTATGCATATTGCTTCGTTTTCATATATTGGGTTCTAAAAGTGAACGATGTGTCGTAATAGGAAGCAAGACAGCCAGCAAGAACTGTCTTGTGTGCAGTCGATGCAGAGGACTTTCCTAAGTAGTCAATAAACGCTTAGTTACTTTGTAAACTTGGTAGGTTTTAAATATTGTTGAGTTTTGTTTTAAACTCCTACAAATGAAAATTTAAACAGCCAGTTCAATAAATAGTTGTGACCCTTATCTGACCTTCAGAAATGCAGATTTCCATTCAGAGAAAAACTAAAATTGTAATTCAACTACAAAGCAGCACTACAATACGTCAATTTGCTCAGATTATACGGCTTGCACGCAGAATGTAATCTAAAGCGTTACGCGGCCTCAACACCATGTTAAGAATCAATCAAGACACCACGAATTACTGAGATATGGATGGTTGGATTTTAGAAACCAAGTTAGGTAGTTTAAATCAAAGTAAAACATCAAACAGATTGTGTTTTTTTAGTCAAGTTTTAGCAGCAGCAAAAGTAGCTTAAAATCCATGAGTGAAAAATATATTTTGACGCTATAAAAACATCAAAAATTACTGGGTTTTGGAGACCAAATTGATGAAGTAGGTTTTTCTCACAATATAAGTTGAAAGCATTACTGCGCATTTATGTGATTATCGCCTATTAATTCAAGTTTGTTTAGAACCATACCGAGTTAAACGAAATCGGCTCTGAGAGGCCTCCATACGTCTGTCTGATTTTGAAATATTTTAAGCTAACATGTCTTTAAACTGACCACTTTTCAGTTATTTTAGCCGCACCGTAAACAAGTGAAAGCTAGTGAACTACGAATGAAATGGTATTTCAAATTGCCAGCTTGGGCTAAATACAAAACAGCCAACTCCAAGGCCGTTAGTTTTTGTCAAAATTGCGTATTTGCAGTCTTGCCTTTGCCTTGTAGACATCCTAAATAACATGTCGGCCAGCTCGACGAATCCGGCAACCGCGGCTGTGATGGCTGCTGCCGCCGCCGCTGTGGCAGCAAGCGCGAAGCACCGGCACCACTCAGACGCCCCCCACCTGCACCCCGTGCCCTTCGACCCCGCCTACCCTCCGGCCGCCCTCCTCCTCCACTCGCCCGGAGTTGTCCACTGCCCGGTTGATGGCAGTGTCGCCGCCCCAGTGCTTGATCAGCACGCAGAAGACGCCCTCGAAAGCGATGCATCTCCTAGAAAATGACCTCCTCTATTTCCTTCAAACCTAGTTTTTTTTTGTACTTAAATGCAATTGAATAAGTCTTTGTCTGCACAAACAACTCCTTCGACTAGCCACGTACCAAACACTCGTAAGTAGCCAATCAACAAACGTGTTGCCATCCAGGTACTTCTTAGTTGTTTGGTTAGTCGACCACCAAACCACCTTGAAAACACTTGATGTAGCTTTTACCACAAAACAATGATCACTTTTGTCCGTCGGAAATGTGCATATCCAAGCGAAACAGCAAGTACATTAGCTTCAGCGCTGTGGCCACACAGGCTGTGGTCGTTAGCAGAACATTAACATTATACTTTTGTTGTTTGAATGTTGACGATACCACCTTTACATGCCTACTGGTGTGGTGCGATCAAACCTTCTGCTTTTACAACTTATCATCTGCCGAACTATGGGGGCGCACGCTTCAGCCAAGATAATATTTTATACCGGCACCGATGGTTCGCGACTTGAAAGGCCTTTTTAACCTTTCAACGGAGGTACGCCTCTAAAATTAGTACCTTTACACGAACATGCAGTTGTTAAAGCACCTAAATTTCTTCAACAATCGCCATAAATCGGGGACAGTAGAGCAAATGTAGATGTGCAGTATTTAAGGTATGTAAATAACCGTGGGAAACAGCCTTACACATAATATTTCACAGGTTTGCTTGTCTAATTCTTTGTAGCTTAGTTGGCAGCGATAGGTGTAAATTATGTATTTGTTTTTGAAGGACCACCGTATTTCAGGTCTATAGGGTCAAAATTATGTCTCCTTTGTGTACGATCGTACGGTCGAGTCCTGATGGGACATGGTAGTGACTTACTTGGTCTACCCTACAACTCTAGCCAACTAACAGCCGGTAACAACCAGGTAACGAAGAGAGAAGACAGGCAGCATCGGACACGACCGTTTATAGGCAACATACTAGCTAAGTCTCTATGTGTGCGGATGAGTGAGGGTAAGTTTCAGGCCAACGACGGCAGCAGCCAGTGAAATAGGGATGCGTCATCGACAACAAACAGGAACCGCACACACGCGATCGCTGGCAGTCCACTGCACCATCATAGCGAGACCTTACGGAGGTCGAGGAAACAGGTAGTCTGTTAGCATTTTTTTATTTACTGTCACCCTTCCATTAGAGATGACGAACGAATCTGCTTCAACTGCTCCGAAAAACATTCGCCGAACTACCTATGATGTTGTTTGGTGGAACACACCGTCAAACTGTGACGAGACCTACAGAATGTGCGCAATAACGAGAGCATTTTTAGACACAAGTTCCCATCCTAGGAACCAATGTTAGTTCCACGTTTTGTAAATTACTTTCAAATACCAACGAGGAATAAGCCAGACACACTGGCGCAGCCGCATCAGTCTTCCTGACGCCACATTGGGCACGCTCTTTTGGCTTTCCGAAGTTGAGAAGACGAACGTCAAAAGGCCCCTGGTGACGCGGGGTTAGGGTAAACACCGATAAGCCACTTGTGGTTGTAAATGGCATGTTTTATGGAAAGGGTAACAATGAGCATAATTTATCCCGATAACCAAACCGTTTTCCCTATTGACATATATCTAGCTGCCATAAATCCCCAATTTTGGCACTTGAATCTGTGATTCGCTTTGATCTGGGCGTGAGATCTTTCTGTGCAATTGGCGAAAGTTATATCAGCATTGTCGTGGTGGCAAAAGACATTATTAGGTAAAAATAACCTATTTCTGCACTCTTGTAATGCATGGACATGGCGACACCCCAAATGCAAGATGGGATTGCCCCATTTGGCGAAACGACGTCTCCACTCGTTCACAACAATTCAAACCGCGTTGTTTGAAAACAACAGAAGTTTTCTCAAATAACATTGTCGCACAATGATTAGTTAAAGGTTTCTAAGCATAATTGCATTGTCTTCCTAGGTGTAAATTACTCTCCTATCGTGGAATGGAGAGGCTTCCCTTATTATTATACGTTGTGTGCGGTAATGACTGAACACCAACAACTAAGGTTGGCTATTTCTTGCTCTTCAAGTGTTAATGAGCGGTGAAATTGGCATGTTTGACATTTTAAAATGGCATCCGTAAATTCATTCCAGGCGCCGATTAAAACTCATTCATTGCAGGTAAAAGTCGCAGGCTTTATGTCCTGACAGGCTAATTGCAACTGGAGCGTTTGTGCGTAATTGCATCGGTTTTCGTAGTCTCGAATGGTCTGTTCACATTACCTTATAAAATAAAATTTATGAAATGCTTCTTCCCACGTCTAGGTCATTCCGTTTACCTAAATACTGCATTTTACATTGCAGTCACAAGATTCACAATGGTTTTCTGCGAAAAATGCTTCGTTCCGTTGCATAATTAACTAACCAAATGGGTGTGCACCTGCGACGAGTTTTTATTGTGGTTATTTAATAACAATTGGACAGGGTATCCTCTTACAGAAATGTGCAGTAATGGCTCGACAAAACGGACCAAAATAAATAATACCAGCTCTTTGGGACGTCAGTATTCTCCAAGACAACTTTAGTAGCACTGAGATTTATGACTTTTATTTAATTGATTCTGTTACCACAACCACTACATAGGGTCAATCAATGCAATATCGATGTTCGCACTAATAGTGTTAATCACTCTCAAGTCATCTTTCCAAGATAGCCCAGGCATGTATACGTGGGGGCATCACAATGTGACCTCAATTTGTCACCTGGCACGTGACTGTGACCGTAATAGTCCTCCATATGAACTTTATCTTGTTCTGTTTTGAGAAATCTTTGATATGCTAAACAAGGGGGTCGATTATTCACACTCGGGGCCTTGCCTCTGTGTAACGGAAACCGCAACGATTGGCGACGCAGGTGAAATGCGTGAAAAAGGGATGGACCAACTTCTCGAGCGGCTGGTAGGCAATTTCCCAGATTGCTAACGTCATCAAACCGTACCGACAGCTACTCTTGTTCTGGAAAAAAGGTTGACTTTTTGACTCCTGGTATCAGCACTGCGAAGACCAGTTGGAAAACGCGTGGAATGTCGGACTTCAGGCCAGGAAACTTGGTCCAGGGAACTGCAGAGCTACTGCAGTACGATCCTCCCTAGAGCTTTGACCTTTTAGCAGTGGTCAGTCAAGAGTGTGAGGGTGTTGCGGCTTGGCCAGTGTGTAGTCAAAACCCCTCTTGCAGCTTTCCAGAACTGGACAAGAGAAAAGCTGGTGCTGAGGGCTTTACTGTCTCAGCCAAAGGTCTGAGCATAAGTTGAGGTCAAATCGGAAGTCGAGTGTATGCTCAAGTAATAGCCCTGTCATATATGCCTGGGCGATCTTGGTAAGTGATTAACACCAAGTAATGGATTGTCGGTGTGAACAACGATATAGCATGATCGGAGGGTTGAAATCATGTGGACAGAGTCGAGTAGATGATTCACTAATCTTAGTGTTATGTTGCCTTGGGAAACGTTAACATTCTGTTGGGGATCCACGATTCCCCAAGATTGGTTTCTGATTCTGTTTACATTAATTCAGTAACATTTGTTTTGTTACGCTTTTATCAAGTCAAGGTCAACCCTGACTTGAATTAGTTTCGTTTTCACTTTCGATTTCACTACTTCTCTGCACGTGGTTGACGTGATTGAAGCTCTCTACTCGAGCTCTGGTCGTGTTCTCCTATTAGCCTGGGAAGGTCGGTTCTAGCTTTCGGCAAGGGATCTGGTACCGTTATTTGAGTGGTTTCCTCTCTGCTACGGGAAGACGCAACACATTCACAAAAGTGAGACAACGGTTAAAGTCTGTGAAAAATGACCAAATCAAATCTCTCGTTTTCACATGCATTTTTCGAACCCTATTGTATGATGTCCTCGGACTGCGGCTACTTCACCTCCTCGAACCGAACTCCTCCATGACACTGGACGAAATCCGCGGCTAGTACTAGCACGACTCAATTGTGGTCCCGCAAATGCTGAAGTTCAGTGCGTCACTAAATCTTCGCCCAATGCTAGCCTTTTCAAGCCTAAGAAGTCACAGCCGAATGGGGACAGACTAGACCGAACAATCGAATGAGGACAAAGGACACTGCTCTTTAGACGTGTTGTCACTGTTAGGCCCTGTCATTTTTAAGGTCCTGAGTGACACTCTAAGGAAGGTTACTGCAGCTGTATACCGTAGCTAGTGTTTAGTCATGAACCCGTGTCGAATTTAAAATACTGGTACCTAATGAAAATAATTAAACTGACAAAATACGATCGATCGTAAATTACCCCTTGCTGGGGATCCACGATTCCCCAAGATTGGTTTCTGATGCTATTTACAGTTATTCACTAACATTTGTTTTGCTGTACTTTGTATCAAGTCAAGGTCAACCTGACTTGAATTAGTTCACTTCCGGACGGCACGCCACACGTGGCTGACGTGAATAAAGCTCTCTACACGAGCTCTGGTCTTGTTCTTGTATTAGCCTGGGAAGGTCGGTTCTAGCTTCAGCTAGGGATCCGGTGCCATTATTTGAGTGGTTTCCCCTTTGTTATGGGCAAACGTAACACCCCTTTACAAATACGGTTAGTGATCTAGACTTAAAAGGGCCACCACTGCGTGACGGTCACGTATCCACAGCAGCCAAGTCATTTAAACCTAGTTCAATACAGTTTTAGTTAGCCATTACCTAAGCAAACAACAGCCTTTGACCGAAGGTAACACTTGTTCTAAACCTATGCCGTTTCATCAGTAAAACCTTACTTAGCGCGTCTCTAGCGCAACTATCACCTCAAGGCATCGATGTGCAGCTTTCTAAAAAAATGCTTAGTTACAGAGCGAGGCTGATATCAAGGTCGTTGAAGAGGGATTCCGGGTGAATAGCGTAGGGAGCGGAGTCTACAATTTTCCATTACAAATGTTTGACAAGGAGAAGAATTCAACCTTGCAGATCCAAATTTTTCATCCGGTGGTGTGTCAAAATCTGCTGACTCAATTTAAAGCATCAAGTGCATAATCATTGTAGCCAGGCAGTGA